ATACAGCGCGAGGCCCGTCACCACTTGCTCATCTTGCGCCGTTCCGAGTTTGAGTGAAGACGAGTGGGGACGAGTCAGGGTTCCATCAACTCGAGTCAGACAATGCTTGATAGTAGCTAAGAAAAGGTAATGCGTTAAGATGGCAATAATCATGGAGTATTGTAGTCGGCAATTTATTACGTACAGTAAAGCGGCCACCTTCGGGGAAATGGGAAATGGCTGTTTAATAGGGTTTGGCCGCTTAATAGAGGTTGGTATACCTTGAATATTTTTCACCAATGGGTTAATTTCTTGGTGAACATGGAGTCACTTCCAGACATTCACGATAAACGTGTGCTTGAATGTTTTTGTCACTCGTCACCTTCTATTTCGGACTCTTATCTGCCGTCGCCTTTTCCAAAACAAACTTTTTAAATTTTGGGTGACCGTTTTTAAGGGATAATGAAGACAATAGAACAACCCTCACCGGGACGACTAAAACGGTGGCTGCGGCCGCTTAATAGAGGTGGCCGGTTAAAAGGGGTCTTATTTAGAGTATTTTCTTGACATCGTTTTTAACCACTCCTGACACTTCAGTCGTACAGTATTTTTCATTCGTTATTTCATTAATTATCATCGTTTCACGTTCGTATAGTCACCACGGTGACTAGAAACGAAGAAAGAAAGGCAATAAGGAGACAGAAATAAAGCTATAACCTTACGATAATCTGGTTTACAGGTTTATATTCTTCCTGGTTACTATTCACAACCTGTTTTCGTGTTTCTTGCAGCGGTATGTGGTGGAAAAATAACCACACCTCAGGGGACTATTCAATCACCTAAGTTCCCTGCCTGGTATCCGCCGAACAAGAAATGCACCTGGACAATTTCCTTGCCAGAGGTGTGTACTACAGAAATGGAACTTTCATAGCTTGTGTGATCCATTTGATTACTTGTCTATAGATTCTTCACAAAATTTAAGGCCACCATCTCTGACCACTATTTTTGTTATAATTTTATTCTATTTTATTTGAGCTTTCCTCATTTATTTTTGTATCTAAATTTTGTATAATATTTAATCTTGCATTCATGGTACTTGGAGACTATGCAAAAATCCAAATGTGAACAATCGATTATCATTTTGGCAGAAAATCCTGGTGCGGATCGAAGTGCTAATTGTGAAAACGCTGAAGAAAGTGTCACATGCCTGAGATGCAACGACGTTTAGTTCTGGAAACGAAACCGTGCAAATACTAATGTAGAATTATAATTTAAAAATTGACCGTTATTAGCAGTTACAGAGAAACTTCTCCACAATGGCCATATCTGAGGCAGAATGAACTGGCTGTTGTATATAGTGCTAGGTCGGGAAGGAAAATGCTATCCGTTGTGAAAATGATAGCAAGACTAGTATGGAGAGTTTGTCGTTAGCTGCTCTTCGTCGACTGTACTTTCCCTAACAACCTAATGTTACTCCTAAGGAACTGTTTTTGGTCTGTTTAGAACTTCAGGGTTGGAATACGTTTTGTTGCGTTCGATGTTGAGAGCCACAGCAAGTGTTTGTACGATTATCTCCAAATCTATGATGGACCGGACGATTCCTCGACCGTCATGGGACGATATTGCGGCAAACTGCTTCCCGAAGAACTGAAGAGCAACTTTAGTCAAATGACGATACAGTTTTCTTCAGATGGAACCATTAACAAACCTGGCTTTTACTTGAATTTCTTCTCAGGTACAACGTGATAACAGTCCAATCCCTTGATGACTATTTTTGCTTTGTTGTTGTTTTATTTTTTGTTATTTTCTTTAATTGCCATCTAACCTGCGATCACGTAAGGGTTCGTTTCTTAACGCCTAGGTCACATCCTATCAGGACAGTCAAACTCTGTCTTATAATATCTATCTTTTTTGACTCATTGATATTGTTGTCCAATGGGAGCTGTTTATAAATCTTCTGACAGCACAAGTTTCATTTGTGATTCATAAACATAAACATAATCATAGCTGGATTTAGGAGGTGAACCGAGGGGTCTCAGGCCGGCCTTCCCCTTCGTCTGGAAAACTTAAAACATACTGTCCATCCTGGTCTTTTTTTCCATTAGAGTTATGGCTGCATTCGCATCTATCATCGTGTCTACATTTAATTGATACTGTTGGACATCTATTACTATACTATCCAAAGCCATAAACCTTTGGCCCGAAATGTTCTCAGAGTGTCAGAAAAAGCATCTCAGAGAAAGGGAATTCGAGGTACTGGCATACGCCGCTCTCTCTCACTAGTATTGTAAGGTCAACTGCTTCTGTCCGCCTTTCGTTCATGATCACTTCCAGGATCCACAAGCACGGTAATCATTTATTGCTTCGTCAAACGGTGTGAGTATATGATCCGCTGTTGACAGGCACTGTATAAAAGATTTACGAGGAAAGTTTTATAAATTAAACTAAGTGACAAATTTCTTCTTCACTCCCAAACGCGAAGCATTTTCTAAGCTACATTGCAGTCAACGATCTACTAAGACTACTAAGCTAAGCGAAGATTGTAATAGCTATCTATGAAATATGTAAATATATTTTCAGAGACTGATGAGTGTCGAAATAACAATGGTGGATGTGCACAAATCTGTGAGGATACCGTTGGAGGACATCGGTGTTCATGTCAACCTGGTTACGAGCTTAAATCAAACAACAGAGACTGTGAAGGTTAGTGAGACTTTGCGGTACCAAAATCTAACGCACGTGGAAAGCGTCTAGTATTTTTCTGGCTTTGAAAGCGCCACAAGGAAGAAACGAAGGAGGGGTGGGGACGAGGGAGTTATGGTATGCACAAGAGAGGGCACTTTCTAACTCCGAGAGAACCCTGAAAGAACCCACTTATTATAGTAATTATTTGAGCTCGAGCTCGAAGAGAAGAGAGTGAGTATTCTTTGAGCAAAAACAGTCACCGGTATTTTACTGAGCCCTGATTCCCAAAATTCCAGGCCAGTTAATATAACTTGCCCTCATTTCTATTTACTGGTCACCATGCAGGCTTAGAAGATTCAGAAAATGATAAGACGGGAAAACTAATAGGAAGAAATAAAACTTTTTCCTCGTCATACAACTGGGAAGGAATGTCGATCAAGCCAGGGAAGCAGGGATGGTGCATGGAGTGGGAATGGCGCAGTTGTGAGAGCTCGAGCCACCCACCAATGCGGCCCGGGTTCGATTCCGGCCCGTTGCCACATGTGGGTTGAGTTTGCTGTTGGTTCTCGACTTGCTCCGAGGGATTTTCTCCGGGTTCTCCGGTTTTCCTCCTTCCATGAAGACCAATTTCTCCAAATTCCAATTCGACCAGGATAGAGGACCTCTCTAAATATTTATTTATTTTTATGCTTACACTCAGCGCGGGCTGGTATAGCGTTCTTGACACCTTAGCAGTACTCTTGCCTTTCTCTAATCATGTCCTAGCCCAGCCCAAAAACAATAACAGCTGCTAACAAGCAAAAGAATTACAAGCTTACAAGAGCTGCTACACCTCTCTGTCCTAATCACGTCATAAATCTGCTATAATGTTGTTGATTTTTCTCACAGCCGCCTGTGGTGGAACACTTACGGCCCCTGAAGGCAATATTACATCTCCAAGTTACCCGGATAACTATCCTAAGAACAAACGCTGCATTTGGAAAATCACTGGCCCCAAAGGACAAAGAATTTCACTGAAATTCCTCGCGTTTCAGTTAGAAGGAAATGGATATGGGGTAAGATTATTTACAGAGTCAGTGGCTTTACTTGAGACTTGTTGAGTGTGATGCTTTGGGCGGCAGTGGACGGTCTAGAAAGGGCTACTGTTTAATGAGAAATTTAGGTTGTTCGTCACAATGCAATGGCCGACCGAACAACGTCAAGTTGTTGTGACCAGCTTGTCTTATCCTTTTTTAACTCTGTTTTTGTCCCTTTCTATTGTTCTTCTTGTGCCCTGTTCTAGTTCTTTTCGTTATGGTGAGTTTCTAATGAATAGCATCTTAAAAGTATTGCTACGTAGCAATATTATTGGTTTTTTTTAAGTAAAAAAAAATGATAACCGTACGTTCCCGCAATCGCTTCTGAATCACCAGAGAACAGTTAAAAACGGTGGAACAATGCTCCAGTTCTGAATGCTTTACGTTTTCATTCACCAGGTTTGTCGTTACGATTTCGTTGAAGTAAAAGACAAGGATGATCAAGTTCTTGGCAAGTTCTGTGGAGGCAAGATCCCCCAGACAGTAACCAGTACATCAAATCTCATGTGGGTGGAGTTCCGCTCTGACCATACCCAGTCGAGAGGTGGATTTTCTGCCGTCTATTATGCAGGTAACCAGGCAGATATGTTAGGGACACCTTTTGTCATGAAAATTTCAAATTTTGTCCTGGAACGGATAAAGTTGTTCTTGATGAACGGAAAATTACCGCACTGTGAAATGGGAGTTTATATTATACATTATTGTTTCAATGGACCGTTACTGCTTGGTCCCTCCTTGGGTTAACGTTAATGATCTTTGTCTGACTCGCAAAAACAGCATTACCGGCACATTCACACTGTTCAAGAGACTTCACCAATGATATGTTTCTCTTTTAATGATCTAAAGATGAGGACGAGTGTCAGAACAAGAATGGTGGATGCGAGGATAAATGTGTGAACACTGTCGGCAGTTACATCTGTTCTTGTAGAGAAGGATTTGTTCTTCAGAAAGATAAACACAGCTGTAAGGAAGGTAAGGGATTTTAATACCACTTTTGTGTTTCTGTGGACATTATTATAGTGGTTTATTTGCAACGTGAAAAATCTGCTATCTTAAAGAACCTCAGTCATGCTATTGAGTTGTTTTGGCCACGTAAAAGCTGCGTTCGAATTGAAGTTAACCTGAAAGTAATAGTCGCCTCAGATAGAAAAACGCCAAAGAGATATAATAATCCATAAAGGAACGAGGATGTTCGAGGACGGAGAAGATTGACACGGATTGCAAACGACGAGCTTGAAAAGTTGAGGCTAAACTTTTCGAGATGCACAAACCGTGACGTAGCTCCTTTAACATCTATTGCGTTTTGCAGTGAATGACTGTGGTGCTACTCTCACAACGTTATCAGGCGAGATAACATCTCCAAACTACCCAGGAAGTTACCAAGGAGACAGAGACTGCACGTGGAAAATTATTGTCCCGCCTGGGAATCATGTACAGCTTGAATTCCGAGTAAGAAGTTCTTTTTTGCATCCATGTCCCTAATTGTGGTAATTAATAATTAAATAGAGACTTGTGCTAATCGTAAGGCTTCAATCCAGTCGTGAGAGTGCTCCGAAAAACGTCAAGTGACATCGTAAACTCCTGTTTCAATTGTTACGCCTTTTAAAGAGTTTCTTACTTTCAACGGTAGTTAAAAATACTAAAAAAGCGTTTTCGAGTTCATATCCAGTTTTAGGAACATGAATGAAGAAACATTACTGTTGCATTCTTTTTGTTGGTTTCTGACAACCTTTCATGTGTAACTGTACCCTTCACAGCAAAGCAGCGCGAGAGGCGACGTTGAAAATTATAAGTTTTATAATCTTTTTTAGGACATCGATATAGAAGGTGGAGTGAAATGCCGTTATGACTTTGTCGAGGTCTTTTCTGGGACAGGCCAGCAAGCTGAGAGCCTGGGGCGATATTGTGGGATGCAGCGTCCGAATACATTAACATCTAGAGCCCACAAAATGATGATCAAGTTTGGCTCGGATTCAATGATTGCCAAGAAAGGCTTCCGCGTACGATACACCGCAGGTCAGTGATGATATTGTTTATTTTCCTTCTGCTTCATCTTGAGTAGGAACGATACCCTAATGGCTCGCCTCTGGTTTATATACCTTTGAGTACCTCTCTTCTCTTTGACTGCATTTATTTGGTAAATTCTCTTCTGGCAGCGCCAACGCTGGATGATGGGTAAAGCTATGAGCGCTATTATTTCTAGGATAGAATTGTGACTGGGCAAATCACTATAGATGAACCGCGAGAAATATTTCATGTATATGAAAGTGTTCTTTACTTGGTTTTGAAGCCTCGGACTTTTCTGTTATTTCTTGCGATTACGGAGAAGAAATCGCGCTTCTGACTTTGTCTGTTATTGTTTATGACAGAAAATTACATAACAAACAAACAAACAAACAAACAAACAGATATAACGTTTCATGATAAGCTAACAAAGTCTTGCTGTTACGTGTTTTTTTTATTTTTTATTTTTTTTTTTACAGTTTGCGGAGCTCAACTCCACTCCTCAACCAATAAGCGTCAGTTTTCTTCTCATCCCAGTTATGGTGACGACAACTACAAATCAAATCTCCAGTGTTGGTGGCTGCTGACAGCTCGCTCAGGCTACATCATTCGTCTAAGATTCAAGGAATTTGACGTAGAAAACGAAAAGCTTTGTGGGTACGATTACGTCATCATTCGTGACGGAAACAACAGCACCGCGCCACTGCTGGGGCGAGTGTGCGGCCAGGGATCGCCAGGTTCTTCGCGCGAGTTTGTTACAAGCGGAAATCGGATGTGGATACAATTTCGAACGGACTTGACAAACAACAAGAAGGGCTTCGTTGCGGAATATTCAAGGTCACGCAAGACTGAAAAGAGCTCATTGTAGGTAAAGAAGCTGGAAACTGCTCCATGAATTGGGAAACAGCCGTAGCGCCAGCACTGTTGTGCTTTGTAGAGCTAGAAAGAGCTTAAACGAGTAGCCAGAGTTTTAGGAAGAAGAGAAAGTAGTGTCAAGAGTAGCTTTTCATTGACGGGTTTCGTAACAAATAGCAGAGAACTCGACAATTTTTTTTTTATTATTTATTTGTCATTTTGAATTTTCATTGGCTGGGGACGTCTTGCAAAATTCCAGGAGTTTGATCTTCGCTTTGGGTTTTTAACTTTATTCTTTATTCTTTATTGAATATTATTGATTTTCTTCATAATGACATGCTCTATGTGAGACTAGTGTTTTCTAGTGTTTGCTTAATGTACCAAAAAAACGAGGTATATTCGCTAGTTTTTCTACTTTGGTCTCTGGTACAAACGGCGAACCTGTTGTGATTCAATCGAAACGCATTCAACCTCACCGCAGGTAAAACGAGGCTAAATAAACCGCACTTGTACTGCAGCCGCACCGCAGTTATGCCACGTTTTTGCTGTACTTTTGCTGTAAATTACAACGGTGACCGTTAGGTGAACAGATTTCACTGAGTGGACATTGTTTGTACGTTCTAAAAATTTAGACCTGAAACTGCTTCAACGGAACTTTAAACCAAATTTTGAAGGTTTAATACGCGGGATCTTAAGGGCCCATTAACCGATCTTTTCGAGCCGTTGCTAAGGAAAATTTAGTCTCATATAACCTCATCATTTCTAGTTAGTTCAGAGTTATTTCGTGTGTTTCAACTTTTTAATGATCAGTAACACTAGTGATGACGTCATCAGGCCACGCCCATGGTCATGTGACTAATACAGAAAAAATGCAAAGGCTCCCAGGCAAATTACTTTCTCG